TCCAGAATTAGAAAAGTTGACGTTTCCACAGGTAAGATTTATACTGTAGCAGGTACTGGATCAGCCGGATTTTCTGGTGATGGAAGTCAAGCGTCACTTGCCAAGATTAGCTCACCAAAAGGAATATTTTATTCCTCAATAGATGAATCTTTCTATTTTTCTGATAATGGAAATTCTCGTATCAGAAAATTAAGCTTTGATTACTGTCCATCATTTTATACTTTTGACAAGTCAACCAAGAAATGTCTTCCTCAATGTTTTGGAATTGACAATCAAGCATCAAATGTTTGTGGAGGTCATGGAGTTTGCATTGATGTGGATAATTGTACTTGCTCAACTGGATATTTTGGAGATAAATGTCAATATTTTGATTGCTCATTATCTGCCAATCAAAATGATGTTTGTTTCAATGGAGGAAACTGTCCAGTTGGTGGAGGGTTGTGTGAATGTCAGTTGTCATTCACAGGTAATGGTTGTGAGCTACCTATTTGTTTTGACATTCCTTCAAATGAAACCAATGTTTGTTCATCACATGGAATATGCTCAAATCCAAATACTTGTTCATGCTCTTCCAATTGGTTTGGAGATTCATGTAATATTTCAACATGTTTCGGATATTTTTCAAACGAAACTTTAGTTTGTTCATCTCATGGTTTATGTACCACTTACAACAAATGCGACTGTTTTAATGGTTGGGGAGGATCAACCTGTAGCTTACCTAAATGTAATGGAACTCTGTCTGGAGCTAGTTCTGTTTGTAACGGAAGAGGAAATTGTGTCTCAGTTGACCAATGCGATTGTTACAATGGATTTGGAGGTCAGTTTTGTGAAATTGTGAAATGTGGTGGAATTCTTGCGAATGAATCATCCACTTGTTCCAATCATGGTTTGTGTATTGATGTTGACACTTGCATTTGTACAAATTCAAGTTTTGGTGGTCAATTGTGTAATATTTCCAAATGTGATGGGAAATTGGCAACTGACATATCTGTTTGTTATGGACATGGTTTTTGCGTTGATGGATTATGTATCTGTACTGACCAATCCTATGGAGGTCAATTTTGCAACATTTCCAAATGTAATGGAAAACTTTCAGTTGACTCGAATGTTTGTAGCAAGAATGGAAATTGTAATGAGCTTGGAAATTGTATTTGCAACACTAATTATGGAGGTATCGATTGTGAGCTACCTAAATGTCATGGAATTTTACAAAATAATTTGACAGTTTGCAGTGGAAATGGAACTTGTCAATCGGTGGATTCATGCTTGTGTAACTCTGGATATTTTGGAGAAAATTGTGAATTTTCTATTTGCTATGGAATTCCTTCTAATGATTCTAAAAGTTGCTCTGGAGTTGGTCAATGTATTTCTCCGAATAATTGCAAATGTCCTAGTCAACTGTGGACAGGTTTCGAATGTCAAGTGCCAATGTGCTTTTCTATCAATGGTACTGACTCTAGAGTATGCTCTAATGGAAGAGGTAGATGTGTTGGGGCTAATCAATGTGAATGTGAAACCAATTATTTTGGGTCGCAATGTCAGTTTACAACTTGTCAAGGAATTCAAAGTAATGACAGCTCTGTATGTTATGGACACGGATCTTGTGAATCCTTCAACAATTGTACATGTTCTGATGGTTATGGACCTTCCAATTCATGTCAATACCCTATTTGTTTTGGAATTCTTGCTAACAATGCTTCCGTCTGCAACTCTTCACAAATTTGTTTGGCACCTGACAGATGTGTTCCAAAAGATCCCATTTGCTACGGCAAGTTCAATAATGATTCAACTGTTTGCTCTTCACACGGTACTTGCCTTGACAATAATAATTGCAAATGCCAAAGTGGATATTTTGGAAATGAATGTCAATTGTGGAAATGTCATAACATTGATATGAATGCAACCAACGTTTGTAATGGACCAAATGGACAATGTTCTTCTCCAAATAATTGTTCATGCACTATTGGATTTCTTGGATTGGAATGTGAAACACCAACCTGTCAAGGAATTTCTGCATTAAATGTCAAGGTCTGTAATGGAAATGGCAGCTGTAATGGATTGGATAAGTGTGCCTGTAACCAGGGATGGTCAGGATCTCAATGTGAAACACCACTTTGTAATGGAATTTCCTCCCAAGATTTAAAGGTTTGTTCTGGAAGAGGTAAATGTGCAGCACCTGACACCTGTCAATGCAATGGAAAAGCATATGGAGCCAATTGTGAGCTAGTTCGGTCCACATCTACATTCAATAATGGGTCATCAGTTCCAACAGCTTCACATTCTGTTACCAGATTGAACGAATGTAGTTCTTTGGAAAGAATTTCATCGTTCTTATTTGCCATTTTGTTGCTTTTTCTTTTTCCTTAATAAAGACTAGTTCTTTGTTTTCCACTTAACCACTTATCATTTGCAGGGCTATGTATGTTGTTATTTGAATACTATTCTTAATGAATGTAAAGCCGTCATAGCTCAGTTGGATAGAGCACAGGACTTCTAATCCTGGGGTCGTGGGTTCGAGCCCCATTGTCGGTAACTGTTTTTTCAATTGGAAACTTAGACTGGTAAACCTAACTATCCTTAAATGAATGTAACCGATGATAGCTCAGCTGGTAGAGCATGGGACTGTAGCAAGAAAAACTGTCATCCTGTGGTCGGCGGTTCGATTCCGTCTCATCGGATAATTTTAACCTTAAAGCACTTCTTTTATCATTTGGAATTCATTGCAAACTGTAAACAATTCATCTTACAGCTTCTTTCCGAGATACTGTGAAAAGATTTACATTGTAATCAAGTCAATACTGTCATTAACAAATACAATAGGCACCTGTAAGTATCTATTGAAAATAGATCTGTTGAATTTTGTTTTATAGGAATTACTTTCAGATAATCACAAAGGTAAAAGCACAAAAGTGGACGTTTATTCATTTGGAGTAATAATGTGGGAGCTATTATATGAAATATTACCATTTTCAAATCAAATTGATAACTCTACAACTGTTTTCCAAATATTGATGAGAGTTGCAAAAGGACACAGGCCAGAACTGTTACATACAAAATCATTCAGTGAAAAACAAATTAATGAGTGGATTGAACACAATTTTACAAAGAAACAGATCGAAGCTCTTGGAAAAAGTGAAATTATTGGATTTTTAGAATCATATGTTCAAATTATGGAAAGATGTTGGGCTCAGGATTCCTCACAAAGACCTGAATTTATTGCTTTTTAAATCCTCGCTTCACTTTCCAAACTTGGAACTTTATTAATTTCATTGCTATGAAATTTCTGCATCTCTACTACAGCTAATTATTTACAACTTTCGTCTATTCATATGTCTCTTTCACAAACAATCAGGAAATCACTGGTATTACATTTTATGTATTTCTTTGATTTTGTTAAGGGATATGACAGTAGTGGATAATGTTATTCGAATGATGAGACTAAAGTGAATATTATACATTATTGAAAGGAGATTTCCTAATAAACATTTGCATAACTTACATACAACCATCACAACACATAATACATTATTCAAACTTCATATTTACAACAAAAACCTTTCATTCGAAACTGATTGGCTCAATTATCAGCAGTTCGACATCCTAATCAATGAATTCACTCTGAAAACGTTCGAATAATCTCCAAAGATGTTCACTGAAGAGATGACAAATCCGCCAAATTTGAATTGAACGTGTCTACAATCATCACTACAAATCTTACTTTCGTATAAAAATATTCATTTATTCGTACAAGATTGAACTTGCAATTGTATGAGACGAATCACGTCTTGAATTCCCACTCACATCACCACTTGCAATGTTTATTCCCTCACTTCCCATCAAACAACCTATGAAACTCTGTTTACCCGCTCTCATTGTTCTGTGGAGATTAAAACCTCAACAAGCAGCAGCAGCAAATTAGCAACAAAAAACTACAAAAAAATATGAAGAAGAATTGCTTGTTGCAGGCTAGTGTGGGTCTTATTGTGGCGACTTTGTGTTGTATGGTAGCCTTTGAAGGCTTGGTTGTGGAGGCTGTTGTTCAACCTACTCCTACTGTGTCATTCGATTATCTTAGTGGCTTGAAGTTTAATTTCACTCTCGGATTAAATCTTCAAGATAGTGGAAATGTTTGTAAGATTGGTGTCATTGATGGCATGTATTCATCTCTCAAGGCTCTTAATCAAAGCTCTAATTATACATTGTATACTGTTCCTTGTATTGGTTCTTCAGTACTCAAGGTTCCATACTATGGTTATCCATTCACCAAATTCTTGTACAAGTATGACAATGTCAAATATAGCTCGATTTCCAAAGAGTATTATGGTTATTTCCCAACCTTCTCTGCTGTTCTAGGTAATATCACTCANAGCAGTGTGGTTTATTCTA